CCAGGTCAGTTAGTTGTCAGAAAATAATTGTGATTAGGCAAAGAAGCATAGCGTGCGCGCCAAGACGTAGGGAATTGCGTTCCGTTAATTATTCTCCAACATGATTTCTCATTTACTTGCTTCGCCACTTCCGGAGCTTCCTTTTTCTTTAACACTTTCAATGATTTGCATGTTTGAGACCTAGCTCCTCGATCATTTTGCTTTATTAGAACTATATTTCTCATCAGCTACGCTGAACCAAGTCGGTCAGTTTAGCTGCAAACAAGTCGCTTTGTCAGAATGTTGAGTTTACTTCCAGACTTTTATTCTTGCAGTGGGTTGGGATTTTATGCTTCTTCTGGCATCACTGTAGCGTCTAGTATATGTAGAAAATGTCCGAGCAATTTCACTACAAATATAAACCAACTAATAGAGAAAATTGTGGGAATAGACGTGAACGGCGCACAGATGTTTGGTGGTGTTTGCTGAATTACTCATAGCCATTAGACATAGCCCGCCCCGTACGCGAATAGTATCGTCTCTCCTCATGTTGTACTCCTTGTCTTCTCCCTAGTTGCTAATCGAAGAAGTGGACATGTCTTCCTTCGCGTCGATTAAGGCATTCGCGCAACGAATAGTTGCCCGCGAAGCGCGCATCGACTTCCTCATCAATAACGCCGGCGTCATGGCTTGCCCCTACGCTGAGACAGAGGACGGCCTGGAGTTGCAAATTGGCACGAACCACTTCGGTCACTTCCTCCTCACTGAACTCCTGATGCCGGCTATCAGACGAGCGGCACCTGAAGCTCGCATCATCTGCCTTTCCTCAGTCGCCCACAAACACGGTGAGGTAGGTTATATATATCGCTTGAACGTGTCATTGCGACTTTGCGTTAAGTCGCGATTCCCGCCATCTTTCCACCTCAAATGGCTACACCAGATAAGATTGCTGAAACGCTGGCAATCTGATAATCTCATGCGATTTTTTCTCCTTTGGAATAGCGAAGTCTGCAGACCCACTGGGGCTTCTTCCCAGAGCGATAGCAATCCTAGCTACGCTTACAACACTACAAGAGTCTTATTAGGTTTCAAATCTTCAAACGCAGACCATAGGCCTGACTGTCTCGGATGTCTGACTATTAATAACTTTGTTAGGGGGCGCTCACCGATCGTTCATACGGAACTCACTCGTTCCGTTGTGCCTTATGGACTCTCTCTCGAGCCCAACCAGCAGCCGCACAGCGGCGCATTAATAACTTTGTTCCCGAGGGTTCCATTAAATCCCAAGGTTTTATATCAGTAGGAGGCTTTCCGAGGAGGCCGCTCTGCTGGATGTTCTGGTAAACGGTGGGAACCCACATGGCCACGCTGGAGTGAATCCAGACTCCTTCTCCGAAGACTTACAGAGTTAATTGCTCTCTCCAACATGCTGGTACGTTAGCTGCGTCCTGTGTAACCGTACATTACGCCACATCCCGTTTACCAACTGTTTTGAAGACATCAAGAAGTGTCCGAGTCCTACTAATCCAGTGTAGGTCACCAACCGTCTGTTGCGATGACAGTGAGTTGCTATGTCCATAGGTTAATTTACAGTCAGCCTTGTGTGTGTTTGTGTGCAGCGGCCGACCGGTGGACTAAGAGTCAGGCGGTAATGGCTTCTTCTCAACGTGAACTCCGGCACTCTCGCGCATGTAAGACCCATGCCCCCACCACCTTTTGCGCGAAATTCTGGTGTTTGTGTTTTAGAGCGAGGTCGTGCATGTGGCACGCGCAGACAAGGTCATTAGACTATGTCAGCTACTGCGCCCATTCCCCACACCTGTCAACTGACCAGCCCCGACAGTAACTGGGGCCTGGGAATGGGAAGAGAGAGTGCGGGCGACGAATCAGCGCATTATCCTCACAACCAACAATCTGGAGCGCTTGAAGCTATCACGATATGCTAAAAACCATAACTTGGAAGGTTTGCCAAGAATTCTCTGAGGTAGCACAAATGCGACTCATGATCGTTTTGTTGAGGCAATGCTCCTCTCGTGGGAATAGCATGCAAAGTTAGACGTCCGAGGCAAATCTAGGCATAATAGGCAAACGTCAGTGGCAATACGTCGGGCACAGAGAATGGTCTGCAGATTCCTTTAATCGAACTTTTCGGGAATGCAGATTCTGATAAGGAAGGAGATAACAGTCAAGAGACATTCGTTTCGAGACGGAATCGAACTGCCGACATCTCGAATTTGTTCCGGGCACACGAGTTCTGAGTTACTTCTGCAAAGGATACATGATACATCATACTTGACGGCGCATGCACTGCCTTTTAGCTAGTGCCTCTGCTTTCACTTATGCTGTATCATTTAATCTGTGCATATACCACTGGGTGCCTGTTGGCAGTTTATGAATATCACGAGGTCATTCCGCTGTGGCTGACGGAGCGCGACCCAAATATTCATATCAACTTTTGGTCTGAGTCTAGAAAGTTCAAATCAGACTGATTTCCTTCAGGTTAGCGATTAATTTCTGAGGTAAGCCACAAGCCGGAACTCTCTCTGTCAATTCTGTCGGCTGTGTGATTTAATCGACATTCTCTTCTTCAGAATTCATAGACACCAACCTGATATAAGTCTGAGGGGGTAGGCACACGAAACTGTAACTGACAGCACCTAGTTCACTTGATGCAGTGTGTAAATTAAGCTGGAAATAAAACGAAAACATTTTAGTAAGGCTGAAAAAACGTCTAGATAAAAAGTAGGCTTGTTTTGCGGTTCTAGAAGAGGGGACTATCGATTTGCCCATAAAGCTTGCAGATACGGTTGGAGTGGTTAAAACGCAGAGATTACCGCGTGAAATGGAAGGTGGTGGAGGAGGAAAGGCTCGCGGTTCGATTCGACCTCACAGCAAACGTCGTCTGACCTTGACGTATCAATTCTCCAGAATTTGAGCGTTAATTTTCATGTCTTTTGTTTTCATTGTAGAGTCGGTTATTCAGAGGCTCCTTGCAAACTTTATAAAACACTATGATTAGCATTCTAGTCAGTACGACAGTAAAGGTCGCCTCTTTTTGCGAACGATCAGATTGACACCACCGACATGAACCTTCGTGGCAAGAAGTACGGACGCTGGAAGGCCTATGCGCAGTCAAAGCTGGCTAATGTGATCCACGCCAGGCAGCTGCCCATACGTCACAAAGACGAAGGCATCGTTGCCGTTAGTGTTCATCCAGGAGTGGTGAGGACGGATCTCTACAAGGGCTTTATGGTAAGTAGCCTAGCAGACGAAACTCAAAATTTCACTAGCAGTCTAATAATAATAATAAATTTTATTCAAGACCCGCAGGGGTCCGTTCATAGCAAGTAAGAATAATTTTTACATTAATTTTAGAACTTTAGAACAGGTATACAGACTTAACACAATACTTAGTTTATAGTTATTGAATAAGTAGTATGTTACGAATAATGACGACCGAGCAGTGAAAAAAACTTCTTACATATAAACAAAAGGAGTATGCGTGGATTAACACTATTGGAGAAAAAAATTTCGCCTCTGAATGTATAAAAAGCAGGCAGGACCGGCTTCCATGTGACAGTGTATAACGGATTTAATGGAGGGGTAAGTAGGAGAATCAGGCAGGACTGGACTGTATGTGGTATTGAGTAAAAGGTTCGAAGCGGGCATCATCAAGGCAGGATTCATATGCCGGATGAGGCCATTCATGTCAAAGAGGCGAATAGAAAACCAGTTCCGAGGCGATAAGAACCGAGATGCGATCGGTTACAGTCAGCTTCGAGCCCAGCCCAGGAAGGGGCAAGGGAGATGCGACCAGGCTACTAGTATATAGCCAATACAGAGGGTTCCGCCAAGAGCGTCGATAGGGCGCATTCTGTGGGGTGCACGTTGTATGAACTGAAAAATCGAAAAAAATTAACATTTCTGATAACGGACCGTAGAAAGCGATACTGTGACAGTTCGACCATCGATTTCGATGATGTCCACCGTGTGCCCCACAGCAGGTTGGAGCAGGGACGATGACTTGCGCAGGGGTTTATAGTGCCGGTAGACTTGCGCTGCATCTACCTGCACTCTCTCCTCCTCCCTCGCCCGAGCCCGGTGTCAAGACAGAGTCAAAAAGACCGGAGACGAGGGAGGCCGCAGGTGGATGGCTCGGACGGATCCTCACCTTGGCGTTCCACCACACCCCCTGGTCCACACAACAATAACCAGGATTTCAACCAACAACAGATATTTGGAGGCTGGCACGGCCGAAACCGCACCTGGGCCTGCCGCCAACGCCTGGCTCGGATCCCACACTGTGATGAGAGTGCCATAAATGCCACATTAAAAAGGAGCCATTGCAGCCTGACTCTCAGACCGCTTCCAGTTAAGGAGGAGGACCAAGTTACCCCGTCAGTTGGCAACCTTCAAAGCCACGGCTTTTAGCGCACCGTGATAGCTTCAAGCGCGTCAGATTGATTATAGTGAGGAAAGTGCGCTGAGTCGTCGACCTCACTCTCCCTTCCCACTCCCACACCCCAGCCGCTGTCCGAGCCGGTCAGCAGACTGGAGTGGGGAATGGGCGCGGTGGCTGTCATGGTCGACTGACCATGACTGCGCGCGCCACGGCACGACCTGGCCCCCCATACACACAACACCAGGATTTCACACAACGGGGGTTGAACGGCTTGTCTCTCACTTGCGTGAGAGGACCGTGGAAGGTGCTGCTTCAGCCCGTTCCCAGCCCACCAGTCCGCCACTCCACACAGCACACACAGACAACGCGACGAACTGCGTGAACCGAGAGCGGGCGTCAATCAGCAACCTTCCTATCCACGACACTTGAAGTGTCGGGATAGTCTCGGACTCAAATCACCCGTGCAGCCGAAGCCACATGGGGACCGAGTCGGGATGCGGACTTCCCACTTGCGTGGGAGGTGGCAGTTGGGTGCATGCGGTGGGTGAGTGTTGATGTGTGTTGGTGATGGTGGAGGAGGGTAGGGAGTGTGTGGATGTGTGGTGTAAACGGCGGTTGTCTACCGCAGGTCGTCGTCGATGCGCATGTGGCCGAATAGGCCCATGCGGTGCCTGAAAGTGCGAGGACAGTGTGGGCAGTTGAGACGAGCTTGGTGGGTGTAGGTTGGTGCTCTAGGCACTGGTTCTCCGGTCTCTGTGCGATGGATTCGCAAGTGACCGACCAGGCCGATGCGTGAGGTGAATGTGCGTGGAGAGTGTGGGCATGTGAAGTCGGCGGTGTCAGAATCAGCTACAAAGGAGGCGTTGGTGGTGACGCATATGGACGGTACGAGGGTGGTGCTGGGCATGATGGGCGTGGTTGGCGTGTCGGAATTGTGGTCAATTCGGCTCTCGTGGATGCGCATGTGGTCGAATAGACCCATGCGATGCGTGAAGGTGCGAGGGCAGTGTGGGCAGTGGAGGCGAGTGCGGTGGGTGTAGGTTGGTGCTCCAGGCACTGGTTCGCCGGTCTCTGTGCGATGAATTCGCAAGTGACCGACCAGGCCGATGTGTGAGGTGAAGGTACGGTGGCAGTGAGGGCAGGTGTAGTCCTGATTCTCATTGCTGGAGTCGGGAGAGGCGGGGGTGGTGCCGGTTGTTGTGTCGCGGTCGGAGATGTGCGAGACGGCTGCCTGAGCGGCCGCCGTTGGGGCAGTGGTGGTGGAGGAGGAGGAAGAGGAGGATGAGGAGGAGGAGGATGGAAGTGGTGGTGCAGAAGAATTCACAGAGTTATTCGGCGGCAGAGAGGACGAGGATGACGCGGGCGGGGGGATGAAGTTTGGTGCAGTTCGAGAGCTACAGTTGATCCGAAGATGTCCAACAAGGCCGATTCGAGCCCGAAATGTCCGCTGACATTGAGGACACGTTGGAAGCGGGTGTGCGGCGGCGTTGCTGACTGGGCGCAGTTGGGATTTGCGGGCTTCGCGTTTCGCTTTGGCGGCGGCGATACGGCTGGCTTCGTGGATAGCAGCGCCCGTCTTCACTGTTCTCCTCCATGTCGGACGATCGCGGGCGAGCTCTTCCCAGTTGGTCGGGTTGATTTGCAGTAGCTTGAGGGAGGACTTCAGAGTATCCTTGTATCGACGAATTAGGCCTCCTTGACGACGAGAACCTGTCGCGACGTCTCCGTAGAAGAGCCGTTTGGGTAGTCGCTCGTCGTCCATGCGCACCAGGTGGCCTCTCCAGCGCAGCTGCATTTGTCTCAACATGGAGTAGATGCTGAGCATTTCCGTTCGTTCCAGCACATCAGTGTCGGGGATGCGATCCTGCCAGTTCAGCCGCAGGATGCGACGAAGACAGCTGAGGTGGAAGTGGCTCAGACGGCGTGCCTGCCTCGTGTACACCGTCCAGGTCTCCGCTCCATACAGTAGCGTCGGCAGGATGGTGGCCTTGCACATCTTCAGCTTCGTGTTCAGTTGAAGACTGTGACGATTCCAAACTGTGTTTTGGAGACGACCGAAGGCTTGGCTGGCTTTCGAGATCCTGTTGGCGACTTCTTCCTCGATCTTGGTGTGGCGGGGTAGAGTACTGCCCAGGTACGGGAAGTTCTCCACCACCTGCAGTTGGGTTCCGTTCACGCTGATTTGCTGCGGCGCGTTGGAGGCTGTGGCTGAATTGGGTGGCGGTTGATGCATCACCACCGTCTTCTGCGTGTTAATGACCAGACCGAAGTTCTCGCAGACGGCGGAGAACAGGTCCATGCTCCGTTGCATCTCCTCTTCTGAGGTGGTGTTCAGGGCGCAGTCGTCGGCGAAGAGGAGTTCCTGAACGGTGGTTGTGGATACGCGCGATTGGAAGTGCATCCGCCGTTGATTCAGCAGGTGACAGTCCGTCCTGTAGGCGATGCGGATCCCGGGGCGTTCGTCGCGGTAGGCGTCCATCAGCATGGCAGAGAACATAAGACTGAAGAGGGTAGGCGCCAGTACTCAGCCCTGCTTCACTCCGTTGGTCACTGCGAATGCCTCTGAGACAGCTCCGTTGTCCGTGACTCGCGCCATCATACCGTCGTGCAGCTGACGCACCATCTGAGTGAATGGCTCCGGACAGCCGAATTTCTGCATGATCTTCCACAGTCCTTCACGATTCACCGTGTCGAAGGCTTTGGTCAGGTCCACGAAGGTAGAGTACAGGTGGGTCCGCATCTCCTGACACTTCTCCTGAAGTTGACGGGAGGCGAATATCATATCCGTGGTCCCACGATGACGACGGAAGCCGCATTGGCTTTCCGGCAGTAGACCCTGTTCGAGATGGTTATTGAGGCGGTTGGGAAGGATGCGAGCGAAGATCTTCCCGGCGATGTTCAGCAGGGAGATGCCGCGGTGATTGTCGCAGATTTGGCGATTCCCTTTTCGCTTGTATAGGTGCACGATTGTTGCGTCTTTGGAGTCTTGCGGGACTTCGCCTTGACGCCACATCTCCTGGAAGAGCGCAGTCAGGTGATCCATGAGTTGGGGACCTCCGTGCTTGTAGACCTCAGAAGGGATCGCGTCCGCTCCGGGTGCTTTCCCGCTAGAGAGCTGCTGCACGGCCCTGATGGTTTCCTGAAGAGATGGCGGGAGGTCGAGGTCCGCGTTGGTCTCCACTTGCAGAAAACGCGCGATGGCGGCGTCGGAGATGGCGGAAGGGCGGTTGAGGACGCCTCGAAAATGCTCGGTCCATCGCGGCAGGATTTGTGTCTTCTCAGTCAGGAGAGTACTACCATCGGCGCTGAGGAGAGGAGCAGTGCCCTTTGTCGGCAAACCGTAGACAGCTTTGATCGCAGAGAAGAAGTTCTTCCATTCGTTGCGGTCCGCGTAGCCTTGGATCTCCTCAGCTTTACGAGCAGTCCAGGCATCCTGCATCTCGCGCAGTCGCTGTTGGAGCTGGCGGCGACTGCGGTATAAAGCAACTTTGTTGTCGTCAGTGGGGTGATCTACGTAGGCTTTGTGTAGGCGGTTCTTCTCAGCAAGCAGATTTCTGATGGCGGCGTCGTTGTCGTCGAACCAGTCCTGGTGTTGGCGGGGAGCGCGACCGAGGACGGCGAGCGCCGTCGACTGGACCGTGTCTCGCAGTTGACACCAGCGGTTCTCCACGGAGGCGTTCTCGGCAGCGGCGGCGTCGGCAGCGATAGGAAGGTTGTCTAGCCGTTGAGCTAGCTCATTGCTGAAATGAAGATGGTGAGCGGGCAGAGACAACAAGGCAACATTCAGCTGACCTGGGGGTCGCTTACCTTGTGGTCTCCTGCAACACTGAAGGCGAATACGCATCTTCGAGATGACGAGGCGATGGTCGGTCCACCCGTCAGCAACCGCGATCGCCTTCGTCACCAGCACGTCCTGCTGGTCACGCCTTCGGATGAGGACATAGTCCAGCAGGTGCTACTGACGCAACCGAGGATGCCTCCAAGTGGCCTTCTCTCGCTCCGGTAGACAGAAGAACGTGTTCGTCAGGATAAGGCGGTGTTCTGCGCAGGTGCGGAGGAGCAGCAGACCATTGTCGTTTGAGCCGCGGAGACCGTGGGGACGCAGCACTCCTCTCCAGGCAGTATGGTCTGTGCCGACGCGGGCGTTGAAGTCGCCAAGGACAATCAACTTGTCGTCAAGAGGGCGTGCAGGTCCTCGTAGAAATTGTCTCTGACGGCGTCGGGGTTGGTCATCGTCGGAGCGTAGGCGCTGATGATGGTGGCGAATTTGCCCCCACCCCGGAGAGGCAGACGGAGGCTCATCAGGCGATCGTTGATGCCCTGCGGCAGACTGGGCAGTCGTCTTACGATGTCGTTCCGGATAGCGAAGGCGCCACCCACGTCTCGTCGCTCTGCCCTGGGTCGACCACTCCAGTAGAAGTTGTAACCGGCTCCCACCTCCTCCAGTTGGCCTTGTTCGGAGAATCGGGTCTCGCTGAGTGCGGCGATGTCCACCTTGTAGCGCGCCAGTTCTCGTGCCACTAGCGCCGTCCTCCGTTCCGGTCGGTTGCTCCTCGGATTGTCTAAAAGGGAACGAACATTCCAGGCTGCCAGAGTGAGCGGACTCACCCTGCCAGTCTGGTGACAATGAGTGGGGCGACGGGAAGGAGGTGGAGATGAAGATGGCGAAGGAGAAGAATAGGCAGAGGAAGGGAAGGAATAGGTAGGATGAAGAGATGAGCGAGTATTGTTGTTGTTGTTATAGGTATTGTTGTTGTTGTTTCGATTTTGATTGTTTCGACCATGTTTAGACGTCTGTGGCCCTGGCTAGCCTAGAGACGGCGTAGTACCCAGCAATGTTTAGGCCACCTTTTCTAGGCCCTTCCCCTCGTGGGGGCTGGCAGTGCCATCCCTGAATAGGGCTGCCATGTGCCTTTGTGGCACGGCCGAACTCCACTATGGGACCACGACTTCGGGTTGTGGTGGAGAGCGACTCGAATTCGCCGTAAGCCGCGGTCTCCGACGGCGTAGGTGGGCGCGTCAAGGCGATCACGATGTGGAGATCCATCCCGTCACTAGCTGTCCAGCGGCGTGCAGAGACGAACCACGTCACGACGGTGCCGACGCAAGGTACCATCCGACCTTCCATCCAGCGGAATCCGCAAACCATGTCCACACGGCACAGCGCACAGGGCCCCCTCACCAGGTTTAGCCCGCCGGTCGAGACGGTTGCCCGGGGTGTGGCCGCTGAGCAGAGTCCAGCTACGTGGAGCCACAGGTGAGAGTTGGGTGCTAGCAAATGGACGCTAGGCGTAGTCTCACCTGCAAGCAAGTGAGCGACCACTACAAGAATCACGCGAACCCACCGCTGACACCCCCTACACCCCAGAAAGCGATACTACACGCAAAAGAAGGAAATGTGAGCGGATACGGTGGCTTTGATAGAGGCATACCACTAGAAGTGTCCTTCTGAGGTAAAAGTCTCTGCCAGTCATCACCTCATCACGGGGAAAGGTATGGTGTAGAAGACAATAGGAAGTGATTACTGAGCAACAAAGCGATAGACATTAGTGCAGTTACAATAGATTCAAAGCAATGGGACAAACCAATACCAACAGCATCAACAATAAAGGCTTAAACGGAAATCAAGTCCATGACTTAGGAACAAAAGTTTATACTTCCCCTTAGGCAAACTTCGAGAACAGGATATTTAAAGCGCATCTGAAGTCATATATATTCGCAAATAGCAGACGGACCGTATTTTAAACTCAGGTGGAATGAATACCATGAAGGGGGAACATGAAATCGGTGCCGAAATGTGCCGTTGTCTAGAGAGGTAACTACCTCTGTGAAACATACCACCCTTCTTGGTTTCTCACGAAACCAACCATTTTTCTAATGGAATTACCATTCCTTTGAAATTTACAGTCTGTACATCCCCACACTCGACATTTTGCCCGTGATTAACCTTCACTGCCAGCTATAACTTTTAGACTATCGTCAACGGTTTAGCTTTAACTGATATGCGACTGTATCAGTTAACATCGCTTGCATATTGGGGCCACAATTAAGACTGTCACAGACTTTGTCGACTCGCTGCTAATCTAAGACCAAACAACAAAAAGGGAAATATGTCATTTTGTTGGGTACCAAACATGAAAATTTTGGCCGGTGTTCATTTGTCCAACCAAAAGTAGATAAGGTTTGTACAGCTGTACAAAGGGACAACTGTCCGAAAACAATTTCCTAAAGTAGTTATAGGAAAGATGGGAAAATTATTAGTTTCTGATGAAGATTCTGCGTCCTACACAATTGCCTAAACCTTTGCCTGGAGTAAGGAATCCCCCCTGAATGCCAACGTGCATTTCAAGGGAACCGCGGAAACGCCGAAATGATCCTCGCGGCTGGTCAACTGCAAGAAAGTATCAAAAGTGTGGATTGGCCTCTGTGCCATCTTAAGGAATTTGTCAGAGCTTCGACGTAGACAGTCCCAGTGAACTTCAGAAAATCATGCTGAAATTCGAGTGTCCGGATCGATTCACGAAAATGGTGGCACATATTACGAAAGATGGATCGGTCTCTGAAGCATTCATGGTGACAAACGGGTTGGAGCAGGATTGTGTACTGGTACCCCCCCCTCCCCCCCTCGTCGTTAGCTTGATATTTTCCGCATGCTGATGGGCGCCTAACGTGAGGGATGGGCAGAAATCAACATTGCCTAATAAACGGCCGAACAGTTTCTCGACATCCGAAGTATGCAGGCAACCACGTGAGTCTGCACGATCAGTGCTCATGCTCTTCTGTTCGCGTGTGACTGCGCGCTTAGCGCCTTGACGGAAGTATGCCTGCAACTGAGAGGGAGCCTTCTCAACTTCGACTGCTCTAACTTCAGACTGACCACGAAGACGGAGATGGCAGCGGTCGTGTATCAACCAGTGCACAAGATTAGCGTTAACGAGTCTCGCCTCCCATCTGTGAACTGATTTGCATGACTAGAGGTGCAATTTCAAGAAGCATCAATATCGGCAATGAAATTCTCCTTTGCATCACTAATGCCAAGTAGGCCTTCGGTCGGGTACAGCACTAAGTTTGGAACCGGCGAGGTTTGCGCTTGAACACGAAATTGCAGATTTGTCGAACCGCCATCCCGAAAACACTCGCTCTTGTACGGGTAGAGGCAAGGACATTCCACAAAAACCAGGGAAAGAAATTGAATCACTTTTACCTCAGCAGCCTTTACAGAATACTAAAGCTGAAGTGGCAAGACAGGATCACTGACACGGAGGTCCGGGTAAGAATTGGTGTCATAAGTATTCACGTCATGCTGAGGCAGACACAACTGCGATGGAGTGGCCACAATCCTCTGTTCAAGCCACCGTTCTCCGTTGATATCGCCACGGTTGGTCGCAGACGAAGAGGTTAAAAGCAACGACACAAGAATCGACGTGCTGTGCGAAATTACCAAAGGCACCAACGTATTTACATATTTTTACATCTTTTTTTCCCGCAGAGTTTCGGAAGTCCAGAAAAATATAGTGACTTTTCCAGCTATCGAGGGCTCGTTTCCTGTTTTCTGTTAAACCGTCTCCTAAAACTTGTCTTTTCTTTACGGTTGTATTTCGTGCCCTGAGCCGCCCCTTCATGAAAAACGAATGGGAAGGTGCCCAGACAACCCTATACACCGTCCTGGCGCCCGAGTTAGAGAATGGAGGGTATTATGCAGACTGTGCTCTGGCGTCGACAAATCCCAAGGCCAAAGACGATAAATTGGGTGCCAAGGTGTGGGAGATTTCATGCAAGACGGTGGGTCTGGCTTAACTGGTCCTGACTTCTACAAACAAACCGTGTAAGTATAAAATTTACGGGAGTTAATTTGTCGATCACTCTGTGCAAACCTAAGAGGGCAAATATACTTCACCTACATGTTTCAAACCATAATTTGTAGCAGTTTGTTTGATTTGTTAACCTGTAGAGGAGGTGCTTTCTGCTCAACACTAGTCATCTGGGCTTATTCTTTGGTAGACAGTTGCTGCTCATCTATATCGAGTGGCTCATTCCAAAGACTACGGGGTCTGAAATCCTGCCAGTTCTGCCTTCTAACTCTGAATATTTGAGTTCCAGGCTTTACATCTAGGCGTCGATGACGTTTGCTTACTCAACCTCATGCATCTTAGCCTTCTCGAAATCACGCTATTCACTACTTTGTTTTCTCTTAACTCACTGACGGATGTAGACATTCCGTAAACGGACAAATGGTTAGAGTGAACTTGTGGACTCCCGAAGTGTTCAACTAGTCTAAAACCACTAAAAAGAACAAATACTGATTATCTGTAAGTGTCCGTAAGTCAAAGTGTAGACACTACCTTTCCAAGTGCACCAGTGTCCCATCAAGTCACCTGGTTCTTTACTTACTATGAGACCTATTCTGGCCCAACGGTGTATTGGATGCTTTACAACCACCCTTTACTCCATCTTTTTGACGGCACCAGTATGCATCTCTGACACATGCATTCAAACCTTTGATACAGTCTACACCCTAACTCATGAAATGTGCTGATGGAAATCGAGATGGTCAATTTAAGGCACGCTAAGGCGCATTTCTCTTATCCGCCTAGCCCCATCCGGAAATTATTTTTTTATGCAGCGTATGTAAACGTAAGTAAGCTTATCAGGCAAATGGATAATAATTTTAGCGGAATTCTCAGTTACTTTATATTCAGGCTATTATCTATGTTAGCGGCTAGCTTGGACTAAGTTTGTGCATCAATTTGTGTACTTCAGTGAGAGAAGTGTCATTCAACCTTGAGAGTTTTGCCAAACAAAACATGCTACACTAAAAACTAATTTTTTTAGTCCGCGCAAGTCAGGCAAAACAGCATGTGAACAAGCAGGTTATTTTGGGAAAGCCAAACGTTTTATCGACTCTAAAAGTCTGATGTGTCAACGCGTAATTATCATAACATGCAGTCTGGTTGGTTGAGCTTTCTTTCGCTTATAGCAGTGGATTCCTCTGACTGCAGTCGGTCTTACCGACAGCCTTTTGAGATGGTTGGAACAAAACGCCACTTCTGGAATACCACCTCTTCAAGCTAACCTGTGTATTTGATTTTTAACCCATTGCAACAATTTCCTTTTCATGTACTTTGCAACACTTTTCAAAACTACATACTTAAAAACTGCCTGGCTGGCCTTGTCAACCACGAGATTGCTATGGGCCAAATGGCCTGTCCTTAATTTGCTAACAAGTTTAGAATAGGTAATTCGCAGGGAAAAGAAAAAGATAAGTAGGCAGACGGAGAAGCGTGAAGGATTGGTTGCTGCATAGGATAGATTACCTACGTCGAACTCTCGTATTAAAACGAAGTCATATTTAGTAGCAGAGGTCAGGGGACAGTAGCAGACACCGACCATGCTTTCTACGTCAGGGAAGCAGTTCGCAAACGAAACAAACAAAGCCCGTTGGTCGGTTGGTTCGTGGGCGGCAGACGTATGTGGGCATCACCCGGGAGCCAAGGACGATTATGAGTAGCTGATGCATAAATGTACGGTAGGTGGGCTAACTCCTGAAATGTCAACCGAAATTCCGAAAGGCGTTTTTGTTTCGAAAATACTAATTTAGTAGGTTTGTAAAACTAATCATCATGCAGCATAAATCTATAATAATCCAGTTACTTCAGGATGGCGGCTGCCGGATGAACTTCTTTCCGGCTGCATGCAAAACCTACTCACCGTGAGAAATAACTACTTCAGTAGCATGCATTTTTCTCAATGAATTTCAATGCCCTTAAAAATTCAATTATATTCCATGGAAAACATGCATAACAATATTCATTCTTTTTACTCATTCGGTAGAAAATGACGTCTTCTTCCAATCTTATACTCGAAGGAATGGTAGTATTCGGTTTCCAAAACCTTTTCTAATTCCCGAATAATTTTGAACCCGCTCTGCCGTCACACTTGCATTTAGTTTTAAAAAGTTCCTGATTGTGAGATTTTTTAATACCGTGAAATGGCCATTCATAAAACGTCATGTCTCTGCTTTCAGCAATGTGGCTTGTAAAGCTAACAATATGGCCCAAATCCACTGCCAAATTTTATGAACCCCACATGGTCTCCTCTTAATACCGTAGAGAAATGTACAGTTTTCCGTATGTGAGAAGTACACGGCTTGTGATTTGGAAACCCTGAATGCAAATGTGAAAGCAGGTCAGGTTCAAAATTATTCGGGAATTAGAAAAGTTTTTGGAAACCGAATACTACCATTCCTTCGAGTATAAGATTGGAAGAAGACGTCATTTTCTACCGAATGAGTAAAAAGAATGAATATTGTTATGCATGTTTTCCATGGAATATAATTGAATTTTTAAGGGCATTTAAAATCATTGAGAAAAATGCATGCTACTGAAGTAGTTATTTCTCACGGTGAGTAGGTTTTGCATGCAGCCGGAAAGAAGTTCATCCGGCAGCCGCCATCCTGAAGTAACTGAATTATTATAGATTTATGCTGCATGATGATTAGTTTTACAAACCTACTAAATTAGTATTTTCGAAACAAAAACGCCTTTCGGAATGTCGGTTGACATTTCATGAGTTAGCCCACCTACTGTATGATTAAATACAGTCGGCTGCCCATGCGGCTAGAATCGTGTAAGCGGCCGCGGTCCATCGCGACTGCGAACGGCATGTGAAAAACTGCAGCACTTGCAGAGCGCGCTGGCTAAACGATCACACTAACAACCAACCAATCATTCGTGTATTTGGAGTAAATGATAGAAACCCCTGAAAACTCCATTTAGTTTGCTAAATATGCATGACTAATAGTGAAACAGAAGTGGTAAAAAGGTGGAGAATTTGCGACACAATGGTGGGCAAAGCATTCACTGCATTCACGTCTGAGAATCGTCTTCGGTCATTTCGAGAAGATTTTCTCGATCCCCATCAAGATCGACTCACGCTAACAACTGAAACATTATTACAACGTCATATCTGTCCTGTCTGCAATTGAGGGGGAAGAGGTTTGAGGCGGCTAAACGCTGCTCGTCCATCAAATTTTTGAATTCAGGAGCAACATTTGCGGCACGTGATTGTACGTCTTCAAGAATGCCCACATCTTCCCGAAGCCACGGCCGCCATTCCTGTACGGCGTATTCCAGTTGCGGCTGCACAAATGGTCCATATATCTTACTGAAGGCGCTCGAATCCACATTTACGAACGTTTTGTGTATCGCAATCATAGTTGACGTTACTCGTACGGCGACTTTGGAACACCGCGTTGCGACAGTGATGCAGCCTCATTCGACGTAGCAGTGTGGTAACTGTAGCAATGCCGAAATGACCTACAACTGTTTTCATTGGTACGGAACTATATAGAAAAACTAGGTTTTGTACCAACAATACAGCCCGTAGCAATCGCAAAGCTTTTCGATTCCTTCAGAACATGCAAAATTGGCGGCAGGCACAACATATTGTCTTCCGATCATCGACGCCTAACCGCGTAGCTGTCAATTCATCTCCATAGCTGCTTCTCTGGTTACGTACAGCAGATAGAAAAACAGCTCTCTGATGCTCACGCGAAAAGGCGCCTCTAGTTTCAGATTTGAAGAGTGAGTAGAGTTGGGCTTAAGTGTTTCATACTCACGAAAAATCCAAAAATCAGATATAAACACCGATAGAAAGTAAAAATCCGGGATTGTTCTAGATAATTGGCAATGGCCTGTTTGATAGCTAGTTTATTCAGCACTGATGCATGATAATAACTAGCGCAATGAAGATTATCTACAACAATATTTATGTTCATTCATCTTGCATTCCCTGTAATATCAAATAAACCCTCCATTACGCTTATCGAGACAGTCTTGGTTGCTTGCCTTATCACATTTTTACTTTGTGTTTCTCTTCGGAGGGAGCAGGAAATTGCGGATATGTGGGTAGTATGTGGTCATAAGCCGGTAAGTTGCAACGAATAGCGTAAAGTTGAATGAAAAATCACTGCACCAGAGTAGTGCGAAGGTTATCGGAAAACTCTCGGATGAAAAGTAGTGCTTCAAAGCTCGACGATAATTAAGCACACGATCATCTGCCTCCCTAAGACAAAGGCGCTTTTGATGTCCCCTGTCCGAGAAACAGTGAAATGTTAGGCAGACCAAAAGTGGGCCGAAGGACGCAAGATTTTAATTCAGAAGTAGCAGACATTTAACTCTTAAATCCTTTTTAAGTTAGCTGGAGTGGCACTCTGGCAAAAAAGCCGCCTCAGCATAATTGCAAAACCAAAGGGGAAATTAAGTGGGAATGTGCCATGCGATTTTCATGCAGGCTAGGCATCTTCAAAGGGAGCTCGCACAGCGAAGAAGCTTATGCATCCGAGAAACAAATGGAGTACCTATAAGTATATTAATAACTCACTTCAGCATCAGGGTACCCATCTTCTTCTTCTTCTTGGCAAATGGTTCAAGTTCTGCTCGACAGCCCAATGAGGTAGTTAAGCAGTAACCGTCCCCAATTATCATGTTTACTGAAATTTGTTAATTTTGACGTAAGCGTACTTTTATGTTACCCGAGCGTGGGCGACTTTACGAATTGGCATAATTTATACATCTGTTGATCATTTACAATCCTTTCTACATGTGTCGCATATTTTATTTGGACATGCACGGGTTAAATAACAGTGTTTTTGGTTTGGTCATCGCAGGCATAGACCTTATTGGGGTGCCCTGAAATGTTCGGTATATCCCGTGAGCTTCGGTCCCCAGTGAGGTACACCTCGGATGTAGCCGAGGACCGGATCAGGTAAAGAGGAATTTGAGTTTGCGACGGTAGCTCAGTAGATGAATTCGGAACAAACTGACCAATAAGAAGTGTCCGGAGAGTTCGTCTCTTGATTATTAAGAAGCTGGATATTCAGTACGGACTAACAACTATGGAAGCACAAGTTGTTTGCCAGTTCATGAGAAATCGAGGTTAGGCAAATCCGATGATAAGAAGTTAAGGTTGCAAAGAAGGACATAAATGACTGGAGGTGTGATTTATTTTTATCCGAATTTCATCTCGGACAAAAGGGTTTACTGTTTGCCATATTCCTTACCCACCCAAAAAGAAAGAACTTTCTCAGTAATGAGTCCTCTGCAGTATCCGCTTCTTTCCTCAGGCAATCGTAGGACTGGAGAAGTCTACCCTGTGTCTCAGTATCTGTGTTGAAATGACCTCCACGCACTTTCGCGGTCTTCAATGAGCACATTTCAGCCTCAGTCTTAGTAGACTCGGATGCTTCACTGACGTAGCAGCAGCAGTCAGCAAATGTAAGTTTACAGAGAAAATTCACCTTACAGAGCAAGGGACCAGGATACTTAGGGCTACGGCTTTTTGAAAACAGTGCTAGAGGTCACGCAGGTTATTCCAGTGTTTGACTTTTAGGAATTTGCTTCGAGCGTAAAGAAAGTTAAATGCGAAATTTGAAGCAATATTTCCCTGGTATGAATGTGAAATGGGCAAAAACAGCAGAATTTATTGGGATAAACAAATTCCGCGGCGCTTATGAACTGCAAACTGTCGCTGCATGACAGAGATTACGAATGAGAAAGATACAGAGATTTGAATTTCCACAGCAGAAATCAATGCAAAACAGAAAGGTCATCGTTTACTGCACGCAGACTAATCAGTAAAATGGTAACTTGAAAACACAACTCAGGAGAGAAAGTGGGGGAGTTGACACGCAGAGGGGCTGTGCTGACCAGAGGGCTGAGCTTTACCAGGCCAGGTTGAGGTTGACCACGTGGTCTAAGTGTTTGCGCAGATGGGGTTTCGCTCGTTGCATGTAGGCTGCTCAGAGGCAAGTTTCTGAATCGATAGAGGTCAGTTCGATATCGTATACGGGCAGTCTCGTGGATATTAATTCATTTGGCGTGGCTTTACCTCGTATGTGCGGTTCAGGACGTCTGGTCGTCAAAAGAGCAAGATCATCATCTTACTGCTTGTGGGTTTGCCAGAGCCGAAGTTTACGCATCATCCATTATCTAGTGGTTTGTCCTGCATG